TACTCTGGAAAATAGCTAAAAAATTAAGAGAATACACCCCAGACGACTGCACTCTTAACGGGCAGAGCCAGAAAAATGTTGTAAAGTGCTTAAGGTAAAGGATTAGTGGTGGTTAAACCTGTGCTCCGGAGTTTCCCACGGCAAAGGATAAACCGAAGACAGGATGGTATGAGATGAGATTGGAGGAGGGCTCCAGCTGGCGGACGAAAGGGAAAAGTGTGGAGAGTTTGAGTGCTCAAACGCGTTAAACTCGATGGCATGGCTCTCCGTTTTTTCCATTAGTTTTGTAATATTTCACATTAGCATGTCGAGCACTCAGAGCTTAGAGGAATCTTGTAAAAGACAAGGGCCAAAAAAAAGGAGAAAGGGGCGAAAGGCGAGGCAATTTCTCAACACGACTGTCAACACCAATCTGAAGTGCTACTGCGACAGCAGCAAAAGCAGGACATAATGAGACAGGCAGGGATAACAGGCCATTTCGATTATGATCCTGGAACATGTGTTTCAGTTTAGAACAAGTGCAACTGGTGTTCAGGCAGCAAAGTAAATAAATTAGCTGGTCGTGTTATGCGTAAGGATGCGGAGGATCAATATCGAAAAACATTCTGCAACACGACACCCATGGCCAGGTTTCGAGCAGGACGAACAGCTTCTGCATCCCGAAGGCCTCGAATGTGTTTGTTTAGGTGCAAGGATAACGGATTCTCACGCCTGCCAGGAGCATCCGCACTACATCTATGTCGAACCCAAGCCAAATCCACTTGAACCCGCACTGACAGTCGAATGTCATAATTCAACGGTCGGAAAACGGGCGGCAGGTTGCCAGGATAATCAAGTTGCAGCTCCCTGTTTGTTTAGCTGAGGTTTTCCTCTCCCCATTTTCGAATTTTTATATTTTTCTATAGCTCCCGAAGATTTTTATTGCGGCCCGGGATGGGATAATCCCTATTGACATATTTATGCACGGTTCAAGCAACGAAATGGAAATTTTTGGCGTCGCATGGCTCGCTGGCATTTGCCTTTCACGGGGGCGTGGCATTCGGCTAATGGGCACCACATGTAAGTGTCTCTAGGTGAATGAATTAATGTCCCGCCTCCGGTACTCTCGAGGGGTTCACACAGAAAAAATAGATAATATTGAACGCAATCCGTTTCGTGTAAATTATTTTCAATTATACCAATACAGATGATTTTTCCCCTTGTTGAATTCGAATTTTTTATCTAGCATCCTTTTACTGTAAATTATTTTCAAGTATACCAATCGAATTGATAAATGAAATTTTGGAATACAACATTTTTTATCTAGCATCCTTTAAATGTAAAATGTTTTCAAGTATACCAAACCATTTGATTGTTTACCTTATAAAATTAGAAGTTTTATCTAGTTTAATTTGGGGTAAATGATATTCAAGTATGTCAAGTCCTCGAATTTGAAATTTTTATCAATTATCTTTTAAATGTATATTATTTTTAAGCATATCAATTCACTTATCTTTTTAGAGTTTGAAAGTTTTTTTTTAGACTTTCCAGAAACAAAGATTGAATAAAATTTGTATTTTTATATTTTGTAACTGTGCCCTCGAAATTCTAAAATTTTCTAATTCTATTAAATGAAGACTTTATCTTGGAGTACCTATATTTGAATTGTATTTTAAATTTTCCTCTGTGCATCTGCACTTTTAGCCTGAGTTCGAGTTCAAGGTGCAGCACATGGCTGTCGAGTTGTGTGGGAATTATCTAAGGAAAATACGTTACGGCGGGCGGCCAACACCTGTGTCAATGCGGCAGATCGGGCGTTGCGCTGCTTAATTCTTGTAATTAATTTTCCCTGCCACAGACAGACGCACTCACAAACACACAGACAGAAGACCAGAAGAGCACACAGACAGACAGAGAGAAAGGACAATGGAGGATGTCCTGATGCACGGCATTAACTGAGCATGCAAACGATGCGTCAACGATGGTCCTCGTCCTCGGCCCAGGCAGCTAACGCTATTATTTACACAACAAACACTTGTAATTACACAAAGGGGGCGGGATGTGGGTGGCCAGGTGGCAAGGTGGCTGCAGGAGCAGAAGGACGGTGCCGCAATTAAAAGCGAAAGGATAAACACAAATAAATGAGCGACACAAAAGGGGCAGACAAGAAGACGAGAAGGCTGCAGCTGACTTGGCCAACTTGGCTGACTTGGCTGGCTGGTACCAAGACAAAGGCAACACTCTGGGCCCAAAGACAACAATGACAGGCGGACGGCATTAAATAATTGCTCATACACGAGTGCTACGCACAAAAGCAGTTAGAATAGAATGGAATAGTATGGTAAAGGATGTAACAGGAACCGGAACAGGACAAGCCGGGCAAAAAAGTGTCCAGCACGTGTTGCAGCTCGCCTCGGAAAACGCAACCAAACCAAACCGAACCAAAACCCAAACCCCTTCCACCTTTTCGGCTCGGTGTGTGAAAACTAGTTAACAGCTTTTATTTACTTGGCAAACAGACTGAAACGTTGTAAAACAACAAATGCTTAAGCCGCAGGATATAAGCATAACAGCACTCACAAGCACACACGTCCTTCCACTGCGGGAAAAGCCAGGATTTATAAACACTAAGAACGTTTTCTTCTTCAAATGTACATCCCGAAACTAATGGTAGAACATAGGATCTTGGAGATTTAAAATATTTGAAGTTCTTAAGTTGGATTCATTCTTATAATAGTAAAGCTCTATTGATTAAGGCTTATTATGAGAACAACTCAAATTTATCAATTAAGCTTCTCTTATATTTATAATGATACAAAGTAGATAGTTGTAGTTCCAACTCTGTGATAATAATATAATAAGATTATAAAGTAATGCCAATTTAATGTTTGTTTTATAATTTAAAATAGGATTGTATCTATTGGTCCAAAATATTGACTTCCGTTTTGGGTACTGATTCTAGGTATTAAGGTACTTTAAATGGCTTTCCGCAGTTTATGTACCTATATATCTTACAGATTGATTGGTTTTTCATCTCAAAAAACTTTTGGATTTATTTTGGATTTTAAAAATATTTTTAAAACAGAGTCTTAGAGCATTTCTCTCTCTGTACTGATCCACTCAGGGACAGAAACACGAGCAGCTTGGCCAAAAAGTCCACGTTGTCCACTGTGGTCAGCGGAATGGAGGCGACGCTGATGGAGGCGAGCGTGCAACTGACTGCGGCGCTCGGACAGCTCATAACCAAAGTGAAAAGTTGGAAAACAATAACGGGCAACGATGCGGGGCACACATGTCCTGCCTGAGCAATCGCCTCCGAAGCGTCGTCCTTCAGGCGGGATGGAACCGACGAGGGAAGGCCAGGAAAAACCAGGGAAAACCAGGCAAACGGGCTCCGCACCGTGACAAAGTATATGGACCACAATGGGGCAGCTCACTCAGTATTCTCTCCTCGGATGCCGGCTCACAGGGCGGTCAACGTGGCGTATGCACAACCTTATAAACAGGCCACACACATAAATTACACGCCTTTATTTAGGCGAAACAATGTAAAAACCAAATGCAACTTGATGACAACAACAGGCTGCGTAATGCAGCAACAGAAACAGAAGCAGAAACAGACCTTGGCCACAACGAAACATACAACTTTCAGCAAACAAACGAGCCAAACTAAGCGCTTTCAACTAATGACGACGAGCAGAAACCAAAATTCATTGAAAATGGGCGGCAACAAGTTGAGTCCTGGACTTAGGGACTCGTAAAGTGTGTTGAAAATTCAATGGCCAAGCGATTACAGCCTCAAGATCTATGAAAAACTTGGCAAGACCACTCGAAGTGAAGGATATCGAAGGAAAATGCATACATATATGCATATGTAGGCCGGGCGGTGACAACAAAAGCCTGCTTAATGGCAATAATAACAGATTTTAGCCAACCACAGAGAAAACGTCAGCAGAGGCATCCTTTTTGGCCAGCAGCAGGTCGGTTAATGGCCGGTGAGTGAGGCTGGAAGTCCACTTCAGGTCCAGAGTTTTGGCCATCGAGTGACGACACATGCTTGCAGTCACTTTGAATGAAAATTCATTAAGTGAAAATGCGTAAGCCGGCAGAAGAAACAGACATTTTGGTTGAGGCAGCTTGAGCTTCATCCTCTTAATAGCCGAAAGAGACCACATCACATGGACAACCGCAGACGGGCATTTCCATTGCCACCTTCATCAACCAGGCGATTGGCTCAATTTGCCTTCAATTAAAAATAAATTGAGGCACCTTGTTCTGCGGCTAACTAAATAGTCGCACCATTCGGTTTTCGGTTTTCGATGGTCCCCCCATCTTTTTTCCGAGAATCGGGGAACGCGACCACCGCAGTATGGGGCCAAAAAAATTGATTTTAACTTCGGTTGCCGCCGCTTATTTATAGGCTGAATTGTCATTTTCCTCTTTGCCTTTCTGGTTTTTTACTTCATCCCAATCCCAACAAAGAGTTCTCGAACCGAGAGCATAAAACAAACAAATCACGCACCGATATGCACACATAAAAATGCATAATTATTCTATTTTGAGTTGACATTTTGACAAGTGAATATGAATATTGCAGGCGCAGCGTACAATTTATAATTGATATGTATAAATAATGGACAAAGCCATTTTGTAAATGGGTTTAATGAAATGAACGAGTGTAGCTTATGTAACAGTCGCCAATTACAAACAAAGCTAAATAAACATTATAGTAAGTAGGGGATCAGACATTTGGATGCCCTAGGCAAAAATATATTTATTTTTCTAAAAATAAGATTTCAAGAACGACAAACCTAAACAAATTTTCAATTTTAATAAATTTTTCGGACTTAAACACAAGGGAGTTCGAATAAAATTCCCATTTTAATTTAGAGATTACTGAAATATAATTTTATAATAACCATTCTACAAATCATTTTATTAAAAACTATGCAGCCTAGGTAGCTTTTCAACATACCCCGTGATCCCAAAATTACAGGTCAAATCAGTGAAATAAAATATACTTAATATGGCACATTTTCCGTTTATTAAAAGCAAAAGTGGACAAAGTCAGTTAGCTGCAATTTCAATTGAATTAAATCGCTTTTTGCTAAGCAACTTTAATTATGCTTGATAGCAAAACAAACCAGAGGCAAATTTGCTTTACACTTCGGATTCGGTTAGCAGGAAATAGGAGCCCAAAAATGTCTGTCATTTTCTAGGGTCTCCGAAGGGTGATAAAAATTTAAAGTCAATTTGAGAAGTTGTTTTCCTGCCTTCAAAGCCCTGATGGAAAGCGGCGAGGAGCAGCTGCAGCTCGAGCTGGACAGGATCTCGGAGGCGAGTCGCCGGGTCAGCAACTTCGATGACCTCATGGAGATGACCAATAACTCGGAGCGTCTGATTGCGAGTGTCAACTCCAGCCTGGACGCCCTGAACTCCGCCCTGGATCACCTGGAGGAGCGGACGGAGAACGTTCTCGTGGAGATTCGACGGCTAATCAGCTCGGAACTGCAGCCGCAGAGTCCACACGACGGTTGCGGAGATCCGGATGCCGGGGTATAGGCGGGAAATACACTGTAAATTACATTATGTGGAATAAAAACATAAAACACATGAACATTTTTTTTATATATTTTTTAATTATTTAACTTATAGATAAAAAAAGAAAACAACATAGAAAATCATATAGTGAACTACTGGAATTCATTAGCATTCTTTAAGTATAAAGTGTTTTCCCAAGTGCGATAAAAATGTTTTAAACATTTTTTATAGTTTCTGTAATGATTAAAAATACAATGAATCTATTAATATATTCAAATATGAAATTATTTTATACTAATTTAAGTCCATGCTTAAAAATACTATGATTAACGTACCTTGAGTAGTTTTTACCTTTATTTAAAAATTTTTAAATTAAATCATTGAATTTCTTTTATATTCCAAAATGATATATGATAAGTTTACTATTCCACACATTGTTATTTTGGATATATCAAAATGATTCCAACAAATTGAGATCATCTTTTCTACAACTACTGATGCTAAAGTGTTTATAGAAAGGGAAAGCCATCAGTGTTTCTGTGTCGAATTGAATTGGGATCGAAAAACTTCGCGGGGGCATTAAAGCCGGCAGAAGATCCATAAAACGACCGACAGTTTGTTTGTTTTTTATGAGAACTGTAACCCTAGCACACAAATAATTAGTGAGCTATTTTTATGGATCGGCGACGGGGCTGCGCATGCGCAATGAGCACCGAGAATTGAATGCTGAACACTGAGTGCCGCGGGAGTAGAAGAATCAGGTGCTGGGGGTCTTCTTCCACAATCTTAATTAGAATTTACATTCTCAAATCGTTGGTATATGAGTGTGTGTTGTTATTTGTGCACATGTTGCAATGCATTTGAAGAACTCGTCGTGCACTTTATCACTTGAGCCGTCGGCACCATATGGGGTCCTTTTTTTTGTGTTTCTTGGTGCCGAACGGCATCTGGTGGAGCATGGAATATGGACCGAGCGGTATAACCTGTTGGCCAGATATGGGGATTGAGCCGAAAATTATGCCACAAAGCTGGCGGCAGAGCCAGCACTCGACAGCGTTTAATTAACAATTAATAAAACTTTTAATTTGTGCGCAATTGGCACTGAACTCCGCCGATGACAGCGCTGAATATTATGTTAATGGCAATGGGGTCGTCGGTTGGCAGATGGGGAATTGGATAATGCCCGCAGATCCCAGCCATTTGCCCTGGTAATTCTTCATTAATCAGCAGCCCAATCATTTACGTAAATCGAAAGCGCGCGGAAAAGCGCAGAGCCGCCAAACCTAATTGCAAGTTATGAATATCTCATCGGATATTAAATCGATGGCCGGCGTTTAACTTCGACAAGCCATGACCATCATGATGATGATGATGGCGATGGCTATGGAAATAATAATGAGGATGTGGATGAGGATGAATGGGCTGAATGGTATCGCTGGCCGTCCGTTTGTCCTGCCGGAAGTGGCGACACTTAATTGCGTATTGAGTGCATTTTCAATTTTTATTGATCTGCGAGAGCAGTCGAGCATTGTGCTGCGGTTATGGCCCAGTCATTAAAACCCTAGCCTTTCTGCCACTGGGAAGTATGCTACGAATGTGGTAACAGCCACCCCCTGCAAACATGGGCGTGGCAGTAACTCCCCCGCACTCATTAGCGGTATCTAGTACGCGATAACCATGCAATAATCGATGCTCCTACTTGTCTTCTTTATCAGGTGGAGCACATGCAAAAATATTCCGAACGAATCATCATGAATTTAGTCTTTAGTCATCTTCCCGGCATTGCGGGTGTACAGAAATGGGAATTGTGAACATAATAACTATTATTATACTGGTGACCTCGCTGGGTCACCGAACCGCTGCTCTGGATTTCGAGGAGTGTGCCAGTGCCCCACAAATGGGAATTTACGTGGCCAGCTCTAGTAATTGTTCCAAATACATTTATTGTGCTGGTCCAGGATCTTTCGAAGCCGAATGTTTGGACGGGCATTACTACGAAGAGAAGTTGGAACGCTGTGTGGATAAGGAATTGGTGAAGAGGTGCCAGGATCCGATGGTTAGCACCACCAAATTACCTCTGGGGGTTAAGAAACCACCCATTGCAGCTGAGAAAGCGGATCCCCTGGCCATCACCCTGCGACTTTTACCCAACGCAGGACCCTGTTATCCTTATATGGTGTGCTATGAAGGAGCGGGCCTGGCAAAAGCCTGCACACCCGCTCATCTGGTGTCCTGCAATCGGGTGCCATCCCCAGAGAACTTCACCGACTGCCAGAAGGGAATTTTTGGATTTATGGCACATCCACGAAATTGCGCCTACTTCTACTACTGCTCCAATGGGTCCAAGCTGATCCATCGATGTCCTGCGGGCTATACTTGGCACTACGAGCGGAGATCTTGTGTCCAGCAGTCCGAGAAGAAGTGCTACTCCGATAGACTTCGTCTAACGAAACAGAAGTTCTAATGTTAGGATATAGATTTAATTTAAGTTAAAGTTTCGTATAAATAGCTAAACATGTACACCTAGCGTAAGCAACAGTCGAATTAAGAACTGCAAATTGGAAACAAACAAGAGCTCGCCGCTTAAATGCTGAATGCTGGTTGGGGGAACTGCTCCTTTGCCCGCTGATTTCTCTACTTCCAGTAAAACAGGTGGGAACTGCGCACATCGAAGTGGTAGAAACGGAGCAGCATGTAATCCTGCCACTTGGTGGGCAGCAGTCTAGCAGAAGGAGAAAGTAATAATCGTTAGGAATAATCGTCGGATACCTGGGCTAATTCAATTCTCACCTGAGCAGCCATACACTGAGTGCGAATATTTTTGGCACGTACACCATACGCTCGTTCAGAAGCACTCCCTTGACAATCTTCTCGGCCACATATGGCGTGGGCAGTCCGGGATAACTTTTCGCGATTCTAGAGGAGGAATTGGGATCAGATCAGGTGATCGGGATGAAGATTAACCCATTCTCACCCCGCATTGCTGAGCAGCGGAAGATCCCCGCTGGTTCGCATCAAATAAGCATTGGCCACCGTGGTGCGAACGTAGTCGCAATCGGACAATCGCAGTTCAGCCCGTAGTGATTCCATGAAGCCCTCGATTCCGTATTTGGTGGCCGTGTAGATTCCAGCTCCAGGCAGAGGAACTAAACCTATATACAGAATGCCAGGATTAATAGAACTGCTTAGCTATTGGTATTGAGAAGTAAACTAACCCGCCAGGGCATTCACTGCCACCAGGTGACCTGATTTTCGGGTTATCATCTTGGGCAGGAACTCCTTGGTGGTCTGCAAAGGAAAAACATGCGTTAGTATTTAATGAATACAAATAAATATTTTGGTAAAATCATAAATATTTCAAAAAAACTTAAAGTATGAGTACTATATTCTGACCATAATGTAGGAACCCAGGTTGAGCTGCAGGATGGTGTCGATCTCATCGCTTTTTAGGGTGGGTGTCGAGGTCATGGGCATAAGGGAGGCGTTGTTGACCAGAATATCCACTGGACCCAGTTCCTTTTCCACCTTGGCGGCCATTAACTGCAGTTCGCGAGGCGAGGAGACATCATTCTGTAACAAATATAGGTCTGAATTAACATCAAAGTTACCCTACTTACGTTGTGATCTTACCTTATAGGCCTTGGCCACGCACCGTGGGATCTTGGATAGCAACTCCACCGTTTCGTAACATCCCTTAGAGTTGACATCCACGACGGCCAGCTTGCAGCCACGACGGGCCAGCTCCAGACATATCTCGCGACCCAGGCCGCTGCCTCCTCCGGTCACCTGAGTTTAAATCACAGGTTACTCACATTATACTCAGCGAAATTAATTAGCTTAATTTGCAAACAATCAACTCGAGCTAATGTGACTTTGCATTGAACAAAAACCTCATTTACGGACAATTATGTGAGCGGCAGCGGCGACTTATGAATGGCATTACTCATACGCTCGGTGGGCCGACCCTCTGGGGGACAATTGAGTGACTTTTGACCGTAATTAAAGCGCACTGGGTGACCTCAGCAATCGTTTTCTGGGGGTGGGGGATCACACGAAATTTAACCCGGAATGAGTTCAATTCAATGTTTGGCACGTTAGTGAATAGGCACGGAAAAAAAACAATACAAAATGCGCAATTGTTGTGGTTATAGTTATAGCATTCCTGAAGAATTTCAATATCATATGCAAATTAGCAGCGGCAACAACTGTTGGGCTTTATCTACGCATCTGAGAGATACCCGGCATGCTTCCCAGATACTTTTTTATTTTTGCCCTTCGAAAGTTCTCTGTTGTTTACAAACGTCAGCGATCGAAAACAAAAGTGAAGTCTCTGTGGCCTGCATTTTTGCTCTCTTTTTGAGTTCATATTGGCAAAACCAGTTTGAGGCTACACAGGGGCGTCAAAAAGAGGGGTTTTCAAGCCGAAATAACTCAAATTCCTTAACAATGATGTCAACAGAGTTTATCAACGACAATCAATCTAATCTAATTAAGTTGCTTCTCACAGCTTGGCTGAGAACTTCTGCCCCCTCCCGCAGTACTAGAACTTCCCTGTGCAACCGCAAAAAAAGTATCTGTATTTTTATCTGTATCTGTATCCGAAAAAACGATATCGAGAAGAGAGCATTTGTAAAAGCTGAGACTAAAACAAAAACCGAGATACAATGATTCATTTTCGCTACGTGAGACGCTTATGGCCGGCACACGCCCACATTAAAAGCCTGAAAAGCATGCTAATGGGTTCCGAATTCGATCGGGTTCTTTCTGATATGGAACATCGAATCATCTCCACAATCACCTACACACTTGACCTTGTCCAGTGGCGATGGCGCCCCCAACAATTGACTTCTCCATAATTCGCCGCCCCGAGATGCACATGTGATTAATGAACTGCGATATGGTTGCCACGGGCACGAATTGCAGTTGGAGATTTTCTCCGATTGCGGCTTTTACAGGGAAATGATGTCACATTAGCTGACCGTGGCACCAAAGACCAGACTCTGTGGACACAACTAAACAATTGGCCAACTAAACGAGCTGGTACCAAACGCATAAATATTTATTTTAATAACACAATCCTAACGATCGGCCGCACCCTATGGCAGTGACATCAAAAAAAAAGGTGGAAAAGGTGGGAAAAAGATTAAAAAAAAGAAAATAAAAGAAAAGCGGTAATAGGGGCCAGGTGGGTGAGGCAAAAGGTGGGCGTGGAAACCGGAGGCAGCCACTGGAAAAGGAAAGTGCGTGACGTTTCTGGCTGGCTACATGTGCCTCCAGATATAAGATATCAAAGATACATATACACAGAAAACTATTATGATATGATAAGATGGTTCAAGATATGTTTGTAAACTGGAAATCAAAATATTTACTTTTTTTATAATCTCAGCACAATGTTTTCTAACAATCAAATGGCAAAATATGGAAAAAATATATGCCAATTTATAAAAAACTGCGCAAGATACTTCTGTTAATATTCAGCTGACATATAATATGATTGATATGCTACAAACGTAATTTCCTGAGTCTACACATGTCAGATGCGTATCTAACTAGCCCCATTAATGGCTCATTTGCCAAACGCTCATTGCAACCATTTGTTAGCCCCGAGAGCACTCAGATAGATCTTACCAGCGCCACTTTTCCACTGACATCCTTCTCCTTGAGTCCCAAAGCGAATAGGTAATCCAACAGGTGCTTCAGGAAGACGGCCAGCAAAACCAGAGGCAACAGGAGCAGGAAGATGATGACTTTCAGATTGAAGATGGCCCGGGTGGTCTCATCATTGCGGTGCGCCTGCGCTGCCGCCTGAGTCGCGGTGGGCGTGGTCGAGGCGGTGGGTCCGGTTACCGTTACTGAACCAGCCGGAACGGCAGTGGTGGTGCGCGTTATGGTGGTTGTCGTCTCCGTTTCCACCATCACTCACAGTTTCTTGCACTCACAAATGGCTAAAATGTGGGATACGTATATATATATATACACACAAATATTTTGTTTAGCCCAGAATTTTTCGCGGTCAAAGCAAAAATAATATGGCACTCGCGGCGACTCCAACGCGTCGAAGATCTGGCAGCAGACTGAAAAGCAAACGCGAATACGTTTTCAAGCTTTCGACTCTAAAGCAGTATGGGGAATGGGGAACCATTGAGTGAAGATCGCTGGGCGCTCGGCGTTATCTGGTTTTCGTAGCTACGACTGCAGATTTGAGTGGGCAGCACAGCACCTTTGAGTGGAAGTGGAAGTGCCCCGAGTGGAGTAACTGCGTTTCACCTGCCTTCTTGGGCCGGCTTTCTGTTTTTATAGGCCTTGGCCATATTGTTTTCCCCACGCGCACAGTGGGAACTGCGGATGAAGATGAACCCCGATAAGCGGTCTCCCGTGTTTGCTTTCCCTTTATCTGGTCCGGAAAGATGGGATATCTGAAGCTGGCTAAAATGGTAAACAATTTCTTACTGTTCATATCTCCCTAAAAGTCTGGAAGTATCTCCTAAATAATAAGGTTAATTATAAACCACTGGCAGCCACTGTGCGGCACTTTCGAATTGTCAACCTTTTGCCACCAGCCAATCAAAGAAATACTCAAATATTTAATTGGGCTTCTTAGGTGAGTGCAGCGCTAGAGAAAGGAGCACCGAGAAAAATAACAACGTTTTAAGCTGAAATTATTTTGTGACATTTTTTTTGACAAATATGTGTGTGTTCTGATAAAAACTGCAAATGATTAACCACAGGATATTAAACATTGTATCAGAATTCAAGATTTTTATACAATTTGTTACATTTTCTGAGATCGGTGTCCGTATTTGTATAAACTGAAGACCTCACGTCTTGAGCTTTTTTAGTTCCCTGTTCACTAGACACTCTCTTTCCAATTGAACTCAGTTCGAATCCAAAACCGCGTTTCTTAGCTCTCGCCGGACGAGAATTGAGTGAGTCAGACCGGCTGGATGGTTGAGCGGTTTGGTCGACCTATTTTCGAGGTGCCAAACTGGTAGGCTGCCCGACGTGGAAGTGGCAGCCAGGCGAAAAAGGAAAGGCCCCAAATGGAGGCCGGTACATCCGCTTTGGCTGCATTATGGATGGCCACGGTGGATCCCATTCCGTTACAATAAAAGCATATTTTAGGCCCTGCCCTAGGTCAATGAACAGCGATCGGTGTGCTAGAGTAAACATTCAGCTGCCGCATGTGGCAAAAGCTAAAGTCGCCTGCAGCTGCGGCACAGTGTCAACATCTGGTGTTTTTTTGTATCTTTTGCCGTCTCTTTTTGCATCCTCGCACATGTGCAACGTTGGCGAACGCATGCGCCTTGCTTGAGGTTGTTTTTTTAAGCATAGAACTAAAACCAAAGACGCGCAGATACGGGTATAAATAAAATATGTAAATGCAGCCCAGCGATTTTGACATATTAGCAGACTAGCTGAGACGGATCCCGAGAGCATTGACCGCACGCAAGCCACACATGTCACATAGCATGCGCTTCGAGGTAGGAGTACAGTAGGATCTGGGCCTTGGCGTACACCACGAGACGAGGATCAGGATCTGCTTGCAAAACATGACAACTCTTTAATCAGTTCACTTTTGGCTTATTTGTACAGAGTATGGGAAGTTCCTTCGTTGTGTTACATATAAATACTTAGTTTCATATAACTGAAATTAACAGCAGTATAGTATTATAAAAAATATAAAAATCTTTTCTTTTTGGCTATGTGCGTGCCAAGACCGCATAGGAATATCACTGTTAAACGCCTAACAAACAAAGATTAATACAAACTTAGAGATTTACACCTATACCTTAGATCTTCAACACATTTCAAAGGTGTCTGGCGGTTCACAGTGTAAAGTAGTAAAAAATGTTGGTCAGCTCCAAAGTCATGGCAGCTCATTGGCACATTCTGTAAGAAAACTTGGGTAAGTACGATCGCAGTTCACAATCTATCGAATCTTTGGCTTACTCTTGAGGGTCAACAATTTGTTGGCATGGCGACGCAGATTCTCTTGGTTGGGATTTCGGAGCACTCCAGTCGCCGCCTCCTTGATCATACCCTCAATGCCCTGGAGAAGCCACTCCTTTTTGGGGCAGGTAATGGCCAAGCGGTACTCCCCGTTCTTGGTCGTCGACACGTTCCAATCAGAGATGGGCTCACTGGTGTCTTTGTCGTGGCTGTCGTTGCTCTCCGTCTCCTCCTTCTTTATATCATTTTTGTACGACACGGTGCGCCGACGCATCTTCGAGGGCTTTATATCCTGCTCTTCTTCATCGGAGACGTCCGCTAGGGACTTGCGCTTCTTGCCGTTCATTTGGCGTTCGTCTTGGTTTCGATCGCGTTTCGGGCACGTGCAGATTTTGACTTCCATAACCTGCTGTCCTACGATGTCGCCACTGCAAAAGGAAACACGAGATTAAGGAAATATTATTTTCTTCCCCTGCTCCAATCTCACCTTGCATTCTCCAGACAAAAGACCAAGGAGGTTTCCTTTCGGCCAATACACGAGTTCTGGCAGACGAACTTGAAGGCCAGGGTCTGGCGCACATGGCCGGCGCTCCGGTTGCCAGATCGACACATGTTCAGCGGAATCAGCACGGAATAACGTTCCGAAATGCCCTTGCCCTGGGCCGTTCCGCAGTACACGCTGTTGGGATTCTCGCTGCGCAGCAAGCTCTCGCGCATCTTCACGTTTTGGCCGGTCACTGCAGGTATATACATATAAATAAAAGTTAAAGATTGCAAACAGATATGCTCTTTCTTATTCGCTTACATGGCTCTACGCTCAGGTGGTTCTGACAGCGCAACACCGGACCGCTGACATCCTTGGTAAAGCAGAGGAAGACACGCAGATTGAGTGGCTGGATGGGCATCTTTGCCTTGAACTGAACGTCCACGTTGAAGGTCTTGTTCATCCGGATGTAAAGCTTGTTCAGCGGCACCGAGAACATCCAGTGTGACTTGGGCGGCTCATCCAAAACCATGCTGAAGTTATAGCCGCCAATGTTGTGGTTTTCTAGTTTGGGCAGCGTGTTCACCTGGCTCTGGATGTCTTGCAGCATCATCTCGCGCAGCACGGATTGCTGAAAAAATAAAAAGAGAACATTTTTATAATAATAAATTAAACCGGAACCAATCAAGAGTTCACACTTTGCGCTCATAGAGCTGATAGAGCTTCATGTCGTTGCTTGTTGGAATAACAAATGGACTGTTGATTTGTTTTGTTCTGGTGTTTCACAAGTGCTTGCAAATTTAGATGACTAGGGACGACAAGTAGGAGTGTTCCCTGCCAAATGGCTAGATAAGAGTGTGCTGTTCCCTTTCTCTTATTAAAAGTAAACCCCTGTGAGGTTTTGCCGTCATGTTGCTCTTATGAAATTGCAGGCAGCGGCTGAGTCATAAGTGGAATGTCGCCTGCCGCTCGCTTTTCTCTGCTCTTTTAATGGCCAACGCAACGCATGCTCAGTTAGTTTTCAGGCGGGCAGCGAAATACAAGCCTTGCGCGATGTGTCCAGATAGTGTCGGCCAACTTGACAGGTCCTTTAGATGGCATCGGTTGGATAGTTGGAAAACAATTAAGCAGTTATTAACGGGTGTTCTATAGAAAATGGAGCCACAGTCTGTATTAATTGTTAGAGAAAAATGAACTTGTCCAGCGACTACGCGCACCGGCATATGGTGAAATTTCTGACGATCACGCTGATAGTCTTTATGACCGTCTTTGGACTCCTGGCCAATCGCTATCGCTCTGATTGCCGTCAAAGGTTCCGCTTTTCGAAGGCATATCTGGCATACGCCCTGCTATGGACCATTGCGTTTACCTTGGTTTACGGGAGGCAAATCTACAAGGACTACCTCCGCGGCCAGATCAACCTGAAGGATGCCATCACTCTGTACAGCTATATGAACATCACGGTGGCTGTTATTAACTATGTGACGCAGATGATAATCAGTGATCATGTGGCCAGAATGTTGAGCCGAGTTCCATTCTTTGATACCCTGAAAACACTCCGCCTCGACAGCAGGTCGCTGTACAGGTCCATAACCTTGGCCCTGGTAAAGACGATTATGTTTCCTTTGACCCTCGAGGTGGCCTTCATACTGCAGCAGAGGCGGCAGCATCCGGAAATGAGTTTGATCTGGACGGTGTACAGGCTGTTTCCTTTGGTTATTTCAAATTTGCTCAACAACTGCTACTTTGGAGCAATGGTTGTGGTGAAGGAAATGCTGAATGCCTTGAATTTCCGCTTGGAATTGCAGTTGCAGGAGGTGAATCTGCTACAGAGAAAGGATCAGCTGAAGCTGTACACTAAATACTACCGAATGCAACGTTTTTGCTCATTCGCGGATGAACTGGACAAGCTGGCTTATCGCTACAGGCTGATATATGTGCACTCCGGAAAGTATCTGACTCCAATGTCCTTGTCCATGATCCTGTCGCTTATCTGCCACCTGCTCGGAATTACAGTGGCCTTCTACAGTCTGTATTATTCCATAGCGGACACTTTTATCTTGGGCAAGCCGTACGATGGACTGGGATCGCTGATCAACCTGGTTTTTCTGCTCATCTCGCTGGCGGAGGTTACGCTACTATCGCACTTGTGCAACAACCTGTTGGTCGCCACCAGGAGATCGGCGGTCATCCTCCAGGAAATGAATCTCCAGCGTGCGGACCGTCGCTACCGCCAAGCAGTCCATAGCTTCACCCTGTTGGTCACGGTGACCAAGTTTCAGATCAAGCCCTTGGGCTTATACGAGTTGGACATGCGGCTGATCAGCAATGTTTTCTCGGCGGTGGCTATGTTCCTGCTGATCCTGGTGCAGGCCGATCTCTCGCAGCGTTTTAAGATGCTCTAAATAAAGGATTTTACCCACCTGGCTGAACTGCATCAGATTCTCGGACTATTGGGGGAGAATATTTAATAGTTAGTGATTTATGGTTGGTATAGGAAGAGCAACTTACGTTTAATCCTTGAAGAAAGGCCATGGGCTCGGTGGTCCTGGAAGAATAACAAAAATAATGGTAATAGTGAGTAAGAGGTACAAACCACCTGTAATTTGGTACCCACAATTCCGATCCTGTTACCCCCACCGCCTGTTCAATATCCCCCGGAGCATCCTCCACAGCGGAATCGACCGATCCCAAGGAGGCTTCGTTTACCACATGGACATCATCCTCGGAGTCAGTGCTGCGGTGTTAAATTAAACGAAAATTAGTGAAAAATTCCTCCTTGGCTATGTGAACAAAAACAGAATGATGCAAGTACAAGCGTGTTGCTTCATGCATGGTCTGCATGCCCCGCAGCAATCTTTGGCCCGGCTGTACCTGATCTTGTGCCACGACATGGGCTGTGATATATACATAACGGGCAGCTTTATCTGATCAATCGATCGGGCAGGAGAAAGGGGATAAATATTATTAATTGCTTAAAACTACCAACAAAAATGTATGGCCACTGATTCTACGATTGTGCCATTCGCCACGAAATGCGATCAATCGTGGTAGACGATAGTTATCGCTGCGAGCGCGTTGGTTTGAAATTGCTTACCCCCTTTCATTTGTTTTGTCGAATGCTTGTGCATTGTTATTAGCGTCGTAATTATTAGCCGGAATTGCATAGATATTGTCGTCCAAGTGGGATCCATTGGGTGTTTGGATCACACGCGTCATCAGGTGGGGACATCCGGTGGCCACGAAACTCTGCAGCAAGCCGGAAGCTCCGCCGCCGACACCGCTGCTGCCACTGTTGGAGGACCTCACCGGTAGAAGTTGGAATAGTTCATTGTTCAGGTCTAAGAATTCCATGCAGTCCTCGAAAGCTCCCAAAAGCAATGTCTGACTATCGGAACGCGAAACAAGCGCAGTGTTTCTGCAAGAAAGAGCCACGACTTGAGGATTGGATAAATGCAGGAATCGCAGCGCTGTTTACTGGTTGAAAGTCATGCTTATCGACGAGGATCTCTGGAGTGTCATGGTTGCGGAAAGTAAACTTTTATTTCGCAGGTGTAGAAATTTCGCGTTCCACCAGGGTTGGCACCTCTCCTAAAATTGGCTGTTTTTGTGGTGGACCAGAGTTGTCATACATTTTACCGACATCGATAAGCTATCGATTGGAACTATCGCTGCGAATTGAAACAGTGCTGCCCATTTAGCGCCAAATTTAAATTTTATTATTATTTAAATCTGTTTAATCGCTTGCACATTTTTTGCCACATATAAGCAATTGGTTTCACTATACATCCCTTTGAATGAGTGGTCAGTGTTCCGTAGAATTGATGGCTTCTACAATACAAAATATCTCGTATTTCATTTGTGGTTTTAAACCCATTTAAGTTATAATACAATAAAAGACACCAATTATATTAAGCTTATGTATATATATTTACAAATCTAGAATGTACAAAAAAGCACTACTGGCACAAAAGTCTTCTACTGCACACATATTACAGCTCTAATATTTCTCAGTCGTCACATCACTTGGCTCATTTGATCGATTTGGGGCTTCTGTCACGGTAGTGAGGTCAGAACTCGAGGATTCTCTCGAATGCCTGGGAAAGAAATGCAAAACAGCACAGTGATGATAAGTTTACAATGAAAATGTGACTAATTTTTCTTAAACATTTAAGAAAGATGTGCTAATAATTACTTCAGGACGGACACTTGTGGGTATGTTTTCTTCCATACCTGTAAAACACGTAGTGCTGCAGCATGAAGAAAATATCAAAGAGAACCGAGAACAGACCCAGTCCGAATTTGGTGGGATCTCCGAATATGGACACCCAGTCATCTAAAAAGCAAAACACTAGTTCAGTCGTGGGTCTTTGATGATGGACTAGCTCATACCGTAGTTATGGGCATTCAGGATCATTTGCAGCATGCTCAGAGTACCACCAGTAAAATCCAGCAGGATGTTGCCGATGCTCCAGCCGGAAGTGCTCTTCCTTCGGTAGTTCATCAAAGCCTGTGGCACGTACTTTATAATAGTGATGGTCAGCTTGACGTAGCTGCAGTAGTACAGAAAGTCCAGCCAGTGGATGACGGCTCCTCCGGCCAAACCGGCGGACACAATTACCACCACGGCAAAGATTGCCAGGATTCCATAGGCAATGAACGACACCTTTTGCTGAGCTCTCTGCATAAAATAAATGAATAATCATACATTTAGGCAAATCAAATAGCGTAAACTATATGATAAATCTTATCTTACTTCTTATCAAAAATATCCTATGTGATTCATTTTTATTGCCATTTTTGATTAAAGCCAATTAGTGTTTTAGTACTTAATTACAGTTCGATTCGACAATGGTTGTCACTCTGGCGGCAAAGGTGATTCCAGAAAATTCCCAGTCTATTTTCAAATTAATCACTGATCACCCATTTAATATTACCTGATAGAAGCAGCACTGCAAAATCGTTATGGTGGTGGCAAACATGGCGTGTAGGGAGAACACCACATCGTTGAGCATCACAGGATTCAGGCCTAAAGGATACCGATCCTCGTACTCCTTCTGCAGACCCTCGATGAAATAAAGGCCGCAGTTGAACATGCTGTAGAGGGTGAAACCCACAATGTTTAGGGCCAGGAAGTCAAAGTTCAGGCCCTCCACGGACTTGCGGCGGTAGTTGATCCATATTTGGGGATAAAAGGACACCGACCAGGCCACAAAGTACACCCATCCAAAAACGATAGAGGTGTATATAAGGGCCCTAGATTTGGCCACAGTCACCCGGACAAAGACGTCCTTAACGCTGGAGAAAGGGAATTACTTGGTGAGTGGTTTTCGATCATTCATATTATATGGTTTATTTATAGGACATATGGGACTATCTCTGCATATTCCGAGAAATTACTCACATCTCTGTGTTTGCAGCATCGCTATCGGCTGTTACTTTGACATAACCGGCAATCCGGCCTGTTATCACCACCGACTGATTCTGGGTACCGCCGGCGGGATAGATAAACGACGCAGGGTCCAGATCCAAGTGATCTTCGGAATCCGTTCCCAGCGTTACTTGCACATCGGTCGTTAATAATCCGCTGTAATATATGGTTCATGACTCGATATCACTTTGGTTTCCTTGCAATTGCAACTCACTTGGCGAATACCACAAATGTCTCGTTTGTGTTCAGGAGAACGGTGATGTCATGGGAATCGACGGTGAGTAGACTGGTTTGGGCATTTCCCAGGGCAACTGTGGGGTGAAGAAACTCCCTCATTATCGAACACCTTTTCTGGATCCGACTGGATCTCGGGAATGGGAGTCTCACCTGTGGCTAGCAGCAGAAAAGCCAGGTAGAACGTGCTTACGTGCCTATCCATTCTGGTTTCGATTGTCTTCTTATTCATGCGTGAGTTTCCAGGCCTGCTGGCATCTTCTTCAATGAAGCCCTATATATGGTATTGATTTAAACGTGAATTACTTCAATTGACCAATTGACAACAATCAGGGGAATTAATTCCAAGGAGTCTGGAATGCAACTCCTTCCACTTAATGGCAAATTTGAGTTTAGTGTCCCAGTTATTGACTTGCAATATACTGTATTAGTCTTGAAAAAAGGTAATTCAAAATATATCCTCTATTTTTAAAGTGTCTCTAATTTTTTCTAAAAAGTTTATAGCACATGCATGCACGTATGTGCCTAACTATCTCGATCTACGCGCGTACGCTCCCTATAGAATATTTGTGTTGAGATAAAATTGCTGCGTGAGTCGGCAACCTTCAGAAAATGTCGCTCAATGTTACAACTTTGCAATTAGAGCAAACTTTTGCACAGCACACGATCGAGAAACTCATTTTATATGGACCCCAGCAGGAAATACACGGCTTTGTCGGCCAATCGTAAAAAGCAAAAGATTCCAGACTATTTATATTGCGAATGGTTTATAAGGGAGGACCGTGACAAGGCGATTGTGAAGAAGTGTAAATACCGCGTGAGAACGGGCTTATCTCAATCAATGGAGCTGATAGTGTCAATCGGTTTTATTCGAATTATTGCGGCAGTATGCCGTGCCGCAGGTTACAGATAGCCAATAGATTGGGCAATGCACTTGCAAACGCCAGATAACCTGGGAATATTGTAATTGCAAGTCACGATCCGACCGTGGACTTGGTTCTCTATAAATCACACAAAGTTTTGACATTTTTAAAAAACTATGAAGTCCATTAGAAGAAGAATTAAAGTTAAATACATATGAGATATTTAACATTTATCTTATAATGTTCTCTTTTTTACTGTGGAAATCTCCTCTTTTCTCAGATTGCCATAAACTTTTTTTATTGCCTAAGGTTTTTGATACTATAAAAGTGGTTTCTAATATCAGATTAGAAAATATATCCCGTTATTGCTGTAGAAATCTCAATTTTTCTTAGATAACAATTAACTCGTTTTATTGCCTAATGGTGTGGATATCATATAAGGCTGTAACTTGAGCTTGTTGAACACAATGTTTAACATAAAAAAGAAGAACTATCATTCTTTATTGGTTATTTTTATAAACACTTTCAGTTTAATTCCGACAAAGAACGTCTGGAAAAGCCAATTGTTTAAATATCAGCCGTTCATTCATAATTCCACGCACGAGATACCACTATTTTGAGTCTGTTTCAGCCGGATAAGAACTTTCACTGGCATCTGGGAAAGCAAAGCAGTGCGTAGATTTCTGCGGGTAACCAAAAACATATGTATTCTCCGCCCGATTTGGTCGAAACAAAGATAATGTGCTCAGAACAGACTGTTTGCCAAGTGGTATACATCACACCACATCACTCACGTTAAAATTAAAGTTAAACAATGTGTCTAACTGACGATTAAACGGGTAAGGTGAAGGCGACAAATGAAATGGAATGAGTTTGGAACCGATGGCGACTCTCCAGCAACTGACTGCGCGATTCAATGGAGCCGTTTAAATATTGGAGCGGTGCAGTCGCCGTCGACGTCGGCAGCGGGCCCCCAACAACAACAACAACAAATGGAGCGAGAGCGGATCGCCGCCGTCTTGATGTTTTATTATATTTGATTTTTGCACTTGAGAACCCATCAGACGAAAGTTGGGTACTTCAGTAGGATTATACCAAAATGGTTGACAGCTCTTTTCAGGTTTCCAAAATAAACGACTTTGTTTTGAGCTACAATGTTTTAAAATGGGTTAAATGCCGGCGTGTGTGGGATAACAATAGAGCATATTTTGTTCTGACTAGAATTTTTTGAAGAAAAAAATAATATTTTTTGTTTACAATGAGACATAATAAACTAAAAGTTAATATTTTAATCTGACAGTGAATCTTCACAAACTAGATTTTTTTAAAGAACAAAAATAATATTAGTAACAGAAAATATTTCCTGAGAGACATTATTAACTGGAATTCTACTCTAACATGAAGTCCTGACAAACTATGATTTTTAAAGAAGAAGATAATATCAGTCAAAGAAAATGAGACAATCTTTATTTACGGTTGAAATGATCATTAGGTTAAAATTTTGAATTAGTGCAAAAAAAAAAGTTCATACTTTTATAATAAGTCATTATCAATGAACTATTCCTAGGAACATCATTTTTAAAATTTAGCAGTGGCAAAAAGATAGGCAACAAATATGCAAATTTACTTTTTTAAAAACTAGGGTATAGCGAATTTCGCAGTACACTCTAAAACTTCTTATCAACAGAAGAAACATTTTGAGGGACCTGCAGAAAGAGAAACAGAAAAGTTTTATTAGCATTCGATAAGGGCCAATGTCTTTGAATTATCAAGTTCGACCAAATGGTATACGAGCGTTCCACCGGGGACTAAAAATAAGCATAAGCAAACAAAAACAAACACAAGATTCACTTTCTATTGGCTCTTTTTTTTGCTGATGCAGAATCAACCACGATCCACTTGTGCCCAATGCATAACTTTGCAAGCGAATCGAAAACTTGGCATGGAACTCGGAAATATTTGCCAAGCCAAGTAAAACTTGGCCACCAACTGCTGGCCATTAATTACAATTCGGGGCTCAATTTCCAAAACATCCGGGGGAGAACCCGACTCCGCTTGAACAACAACCTGTGGGGGTTCACGTTGCACGTAGATTACGATTGCATCTGGCGATTATGATGAGCAGTAAACCAGTTTAATTTGCACATTTTATAAAACGAACACCAAGCTCAAATCTCAATAAAGGGTATATAGAACGTTACACATTTCTACGTTAAAACAAGGCACTCGAACTGTCATGGATTCGCTTGGCTTCCTCCTCCTCGTTTAGTCTTGTCAAAGGCACTGATATGTTGTGAGTCGATGGTTAAATAAGTTAAAGGTCGATTGCAGGACACTATAAACTACATATATAGCTGCTGGCGAGTATGTGGTCGGATTCAGTCGTCACCTGGTCACTGGTTCTGATTCTGGTTCTGGCCGGCGCGTCGGGCCTTCTCGAGTATCAAAGCGCGACTGAAAGGTGTAACAAGAGAGAAGTTGCTTTTTAGAGCGGAGCATACAGCCAGGTGGTCGCTTACTCACCGGTAGCGCTCGTAGAAGCCCACGATGGTGCCCAGTTCCTGCTTAAAGAGCCGTACCAGCATGCTGTCGAAGCCCTCCAGCTCCGGCAAGCTGAACATGTTGAACTGCAGCAAGTGGTCCTTGGAGGAGTCCGCCTCCGAGTAGACGGCCAGCCACTTGGGGATCTCCTCGAGCAGGTAAGGATTTGCCGGCACCAGAGCGTTGTGAGTATGGGTGGGCGGAGCGTAGAGCGATGCCTCTGGTCTTATGGCCTTTGGCGGCTCCGCTGACGTGGTGTACACGTAGTAGGACGTCAAACAAGGATGCTGACGCTGGCACTGCCCGGTGTACTGATTTTCGTAGTAGGTGCCGTGCATCTTGGACACCACCCGCCTCCAGCCCACCGGCAGCCCCTCGCGCTCCAGGGGGTGATTCCAGTGCGTGGTGTGGGCGTTGTGATCGATGTAGTACTTTCGACCGTGCAGCGTGTACTGTGTGGCCCATCCAGGGGGCAGAGGTAGCTCTTCGGGCTCGGTAAGCGACTGCTGTGATGGTACTTTCTGCAGTGATCCATTGGCGCTGCCCCCCGTCCCGCCAACTGCACTGGGTGGAGTACGGGGTGGGGCATACAAAGATTGCACTGAGGTAGAGGCGCCGCGAACACTGCCAGAGCTCCCGCCACGGCCACTGCCGCTCAGAGATCCTCCACCGCTTCCAGATGGAACTGCCAAGTGACCCTGGTGGTGATGTTGGGGGACTACGGCCAGCGTGGCCGATGAGGCTGTCGTGTTGCTGTAGATAGGCGACTCCGATCGATGCGACTGAGTGGCGCGCATCGAGGAGACACGATAAGGATTCTCGTAGATCGGGTACGAGTCGCTGGAGTAGCTGCCGCCCAGGTGTGCCGCCAGTTGCTGGTGCTGCAGCTGCTGCTGTTGGTGCATTGGAGACCTGTGAAAGGAGGAGAGGTGGCTTTGAAAAAACAGTTCATATGGGTAATTAAATCTAAACACTACCTGCTCAAATTCCTCTTTCAGACCTTACAGAATGTAAAAATATTTCAAGACAAATTGATTACTGTTTTGTGTGACTTCAAACTAAAACTCTCTTTCCTTTAATTATTTTCTAAGAAGTATTTTAATTTGCTGTAATGCAGTAAGGAAACTCGGTTCGAGTCTTGTTCATCCTATTTATTCAAAAGCATCTTTACCAAGGGCAACCTGATCTTTCTGAATCTTAATTAGTCAAGCAGTGGTTGCTGCTTACCTAGTGGGCTGGTACCTTGGTTGTCGCTCCCTGATGGACATCGCAGCCGGATCGAATCGCAGCGTAGAGCCGAAGGGCGTAGAGGCGTGTTGTTGGTGGACCTGAGGATGCTGCTGCTGGGGCGGTGGGACGGCGTAGTGGGCGGGCGAGTGAGGCCGCTGTGGAAGCTGCAGCATGTTGGCATAGGAGGCACTAAGCAGGCCTTGATCCGCATCATAGCTTGCGCCGGCCATATGGGGATGATGCTGCCGCTGGGTGGTGGAGTAGCTGCGTTGGAATCCCCCAGCGCCGGGAGCAGGCGAGGATTTGGTTTGAAGCAGAGGCGACGACTGCTGACGGCGCATCCGCTCGATCTGCTCGATGTTCACATAGTTGCTGCTGCTCTGGCTCAGTTGGTTGCTGCTGGCCCTGAATTGGTGGGGCGGCAGCGGAGGGTGGGTGTGGACTTGGGGATGGGAGGGATGGTGCAAGGAGTGGGGATTGGAGTGCGGCTGCAGGGGCAACTGGCTCTGGGCCCGCCGAGCATGGTAGTAGTCCGGCTGGGAGTCCGTGCAGGAATAGGTGTTCCGGCTGGTGCTCGAGCTCCGCGGATGAAACTCACAACTGGGCGAGGTGCTCGCACATCGCTGCAGCGACTTCTTCTTGGCCCGCTGGTCAGTGGTCCAAACATTGATCACCGGGATCTCCGGCGGCGTGTCCTTCTTCATGTACTTCCCCACCACGCCCTCCTTGTGCGACTGGGACTTCTCCTTGCTCCGGCGCGAGAGCATCGTCGGTTTTCGGTTGCACAGCAGAATCGTTAGATAGTTCATGCGGATCTCGGACCTCAGATCTCGGTTCGCCTTCTTTGTTTTAGTCCATATCCGAGCTAATTTTATGCTATTGGCAATTTTTTTTGTTATTCAGCTGGTGGCCAGCTCAAAGTTATCGATACTATCGCTTGCTGGTAAATTAGGGGTATTCGTGTGGCCAAAAAGGGGTACTCCTACTTTCGTTAAAATTAATTACTTTTTCATTTAACGAACATTTGGCATTTACTTATAGTCTTGATAATTAACAATAATTATTTAAATCAATTCTAAAGTGAAAATATATAAGGACTATCGTTACTTTCATTATGTCCAAAATCTATCGATGATGCCGGTAATTTTCATCGATAGTGCCATCGATGTCTGACATCTCCGACGCTGTTTATTTCTCTAAAAAATAATTTAATAAAGTTTAAGAAAAATTACAGTAATTCCCTAGCTGCATGCCATAAATTGAACTTAAAAAGCGTTTTATGGTGTGATATATCTGTCGCAAACAAAATTCTTTGACGGAACACAAAGATGGAGGTCAAGGAATTGGTCGTGATTGTAAAGTGGTCCGGCAAGGAGTACCCAGTTGACCTAACCGACCAGGACACCGTGGAGGTGCTGCGTCACGAGATTTTCCGCAAGACACAGGTGCGCCCCGAGCGCCAGAAGCTGCTCAACCTAAAGTACAAAGGTAGGTACTTATTAAGCTTCATATCCAAGGATTCCCAGTCATATAAAATCCAATGACTTGCAGGAAAGACAGCCGCCGACAATGTAAAGATCAGCGCCTTGGAACTGAAGCCCAACTTCAAGCTGATGATGGTGGGCTCCACGGAGGCGGACATCGAAGATGCCTGCAGCCTGCCGGAGGACATTGGCGAAGTGGTCGATGACTTCGACGACGCCGAGGAGCGCGAGGAATCCGTCGAGCACTCCGCCGTGTATTTGGCGAAGGTGCAGCGTCGTGTGCGCGACTACAAGATCAAGGAGCTGTCGCCGCCACGAGAGGGCAAGAAGCTTCTCGTCCTGGATATCGACTACACCCTCTTTGATCACCGCTCGCCGGCTGAAACGGGCACGGAATTAATGCGTCCGTATCTTCACGAGTTCCTGGCCTCCGCCTACGAGGACTACGACATTGTCATCTGGTCCGCCACCAGTATGCGCTGGATCGAGGAGAAGATGCGCCTGCTGGGCGTAGCCAACAACGAGAACTACAAGGTCATGTTCTACCTCGACTCCACCGCCATGATCTCAGTTCATGTGCCGGAACGCGGAGTGGTGGATGTAAAGCCACTTGGTGTGATCTGGGCCCTGTACAAGCAATACAGCTCCAGCAACACCATCATGTTTGACGATATCCGCCGCAACTTCCTGATGAACCCGAAGTCCGGCCTGAAGATCCGTCCTTTCCGTCAGGCCCATCTCAACCGGGGCACGGACACGGAGCTGCTCAAGCTGTCCGACTACTTACGCAAGATCGCCCACCACTGCCCGGATTTCAACTCCCTGAATCACCGCAAGTGGGAGCACTACCATCCCAAGAAGAACTCCTGAACTCTCCAGAAATTGCACTCGTTTGTAAGATCCGCATAGGTTTATGTTTATTAAATTAAGATGCATTTTGTACGCATTGCGTCCCAGCCGAACATTATAGTGTGTATCCGCCCTGGTCCGCCCAGTGGACTCGTCTCGCCTCCAGGTACTCCTCGTGCAGTCTGCGCCGCTCGTCTTCAAGCTTAGCCAGTCGGCGGTAGCGCTGCAGCACCATGCCGCAGCCGAAGAGTAGGGCCACCTGACAGATCAGCCAGAATATGAACAGGGCGATTAGCAGGCTTTGGTTGATGCACACGTTATCCAAGTGCAGTTGATCGTCTATGCCAGCTATCAGCAGCACTCCCCGCTCGCCGTACATGTAGCTGTTGGCGTTGTTCTTGTCCGGGCCGTGAACCCGAATATTGTAGTTCAGAGGCAGTTCCTCCTGCGCAATGGAATAGTTCCCCTTGCCGTGTTCTGGTGCAACGTCCACCACGGTGGATATGTATACAGGGTTCTGGACACGCAAGTCTTCTGGTCTTCGATCTGGCTGATCTACCTGCCGCCGTCTCCTCTGCCAGGATGCACTAGCGCAGTTGCTTGCCGAGCATCGCTCCACACAGAAGCGGATCTTTACATCGAAGCTCACGTTGGCGGTTCCGGAAAACTTGAAGGCATGAAAGCGGGCTCGCAGCATACTTCTGGTGGCCGAGTGAATTCTTTCCAAAGCGGGAAACACACTCGCATCCGTGGGACATCCGCGCTCATCGATCAACAGAACGTAGTTCTCGTTGTCCGCCGTCTTGGCCACCAGCGAGGTGGCTCGAAAGTCCGGCAGTGGTGCCAACTGCAGCTCCATGTGCTCGGCTAACTGATGTGGGCTGTACTCTGCGACGATCTGGAGTTCCAGGTTTTGTCCAATTTGCACGTCGTTGGTCTCATGTTGGTGCGACAGATCCACTATCTGAAGCGAGATGCTGGGATGCGGATGGGGGCCAGTACTGCTGTTGTAGTGCACCACGCCTTCGTGAGGGAACATGCTGCATGGATTATGTGAGATGGGGAATCAGATGAAGGAAACCAGAACTCACTGCTCGGCGTACTCCAACGAGGATTCTAGGGCGATGGCGCTGGGCACTATCTCAGAAGCATCCGCGCTGCTGTCCCTCACCGAAACGCCCAGCGAGGCGGTCGCATTGCTCTGTATGCATCCGACCTTGATAAGCCGGTCGCCCTGGGTCTGCACATTCGGATTGTTCTGTATGACCACCAGGGCAGAGATGAAGGTTCTGGAAACGGAGGAAATGTAATTTAAAGTAAATTTAGCCCAGAAATGGAAACCTATACGCTATCTATGTATGTATATTTACAAAACTCGTCTAAGATCTACATAAGATCAATGCATATCTTTAACCAGTATGACTACAAACTCCTAATTTTTACGCAATGTTTTTGTAAAGTACTCTCATCTCAAGTAGACCTAATCGGTCTATACAAAACTATTCAGGAAAAACATGTTTCACCTTTGGTATTCCTGCGTCATTTCATAGGCTCGCAGGATGCCACAGCGGTTCTCCTTGATCTCGCTGCCGATCTGGAGCGCCAGCAGGACACTCCCGTTGCCGGATCCTCTGGCCAGGCATTCCTTGGAGTGCATGCTGGCGTAGATCTTGCCCGCGAACCAGTCCTTTGGGTTGTACTTGATGGACATCTCATCGCGAGTGCAAAACACCCGGACTTTGGAGTAGGGAAATGGTTAGAATTGGTTATACCATATTTCCAGGAGCTCTTACCATCCAGGCACTTGACCCTCCGCATGTAGACGGAGTTTTCACGGAGTTTCAGGCTCCGGGGTCCCAGAGACACGATGTCCTCGGAGTGGAGGAGGCACTCGGAGAGGGACAGCTGGTTTACGTAGTAGAAGGAGACCCCCTGGCAGTAGAACTTGGCCTCGTGCGAGCACAGCGCCTGACACTGTAGAGGAAATACGGAGGAAAGGGTCATCAATCACTCAACCGACTCCCATCGATTTCGATTCCAATCATAATGCGCGACAGCCGAAACGCGGTAGACACACCTCTTTCTGGGAGAGGCCCAAATACCTGGCCTCCGCGTAGATGAAGCTGCTGTTGGCATAGAGCTCGTATGAGCAGTTGTCACTCTCGACGGCCCGTTCGTGGCACTGGTTTTCCATGTACTCCTCGTCGTATGGGGCGGCTCGGAAAGCGTCCGGCTGGATGGTCTTGTCCCTGTCGCTCAGCATGCACCTGCCCAGGCGGGGGGAGGGACTCTGGCCGGGATTCGCTTCGCCACGGAATCTGCGGATGAAGGTTTCAGACTATGTACTCAATATCAGGTAATTTATGATCCTACTCCCCATACCACCAGTCACATCATTTTATCTGTGTATATATTTTAGTAATAGAATAATATTTTAGACCGCTATGATATTAATTTAGTTACTTTTTTTTTTTGAAAAATATGGCTATTTATTCAAATTTTCAAAAAATTTCATTGTTTTAAAAAAGTAAAAATAGAGAAAATCTTTTCAATTTGGCCATTTTTTTTAAATTTACATATTTTGATCATAATACGAGTATAATCCAAAAAATGCTGTTGGCAATATCAACCTAAGATCCTTAACTGCATACTACCTAATAGATTTCTAGAGTTGAGGGCCCGTTTTAAGCAACTGTTTTTAACTTACCTCGGTTAGTAATACGAATCCTTTTTAAGTTATTAAATATGATATGATCTGACTGGTATTAGTATTTAAATCTGAGCTTTAATACTCTGTTTCGTATTGTACTAAGCTGCTTGGACTGAATATTAAAAAATGTTAATCATTTTTTACAGAAAAATGGAAAAAACCTAACCTATCCCATCGCCGCCTGCGAGTGATGTCATAATCCGGAGAAAAGCCTCGGCCATGCATTAAAAATGCACAACAAAAGCAATTAATTTGTCCGGCAACAAGCAACGACAATAAACAACCACCAACAACAACCAACAACAACCTACAACAACCGGCCACCAAACAGTCAATTACCGCTCACGATTGTTCCGATACGATGGCGCAAAGGAGGCGGAGAGGCATTTAAATTCGCTTTCGAAGAAGCAGCGCTCGGCGCACTCACGCCGCGTGACCAGCGTCGAAATGGTCTTCTTGCTCTGGAAGACCAGGGTGCTGCCGGGGATTTTGGTCAGTGCCCAGAGTCGCCCTCGGCACGCATCGGGAACTGCAAGGTCGGAACGGAAGTGGATTACCAAGGTCGATTCGGCCCCCATCCGGTTATGATTCTACTCACCTCGGAGGCAGGTTTTTTCGTAGAACACGGCCTCGCCATCGGCCACCAGAGGCAGTTCCCCCGAAATGGCCAGATATCGTGAGGTTCGCTCGAAGTACGAGTAGCCATGACACTCGTCCGTGTCCAGAAGATGCACATAGGCAATGCAGTCGGGATCCTCGTTGCAGATCCTCCAGCACACCTGGCTGACCGGAAGTTCCTGGTCCCCATTGCGCTCCTTGAAGTTGTCCACCATTTCCGGGCCGTAGATCAGGTTGCCCTCATTCAGATACTCCAACGGAGGCCGGAATCCGACGATCTTCTGCAACTGCAACTGGTGCAGCGGACACTTGAGCAGCAGGGCAACTGGAGGGTGGAATGGAATGCCATGAATGTGGGTTATAATCCAAGGGATGCGCATGACTGCGAGTCATAACATTTTTGAAATTGCCGAGCAGTCATAATATAGGGATTGCGTATCGATTTCCATTCAAGGGGTATGTCTATAAGCTAAGCTTGTGCGCCATTGTGACTGGGCATCAATTAATATGATATTTTTATGCATAAATAAGCAATGAGAAAATCAATCATGCATTTGCGAGCTAAAGATTTAAATAGGGAATTCCAAATGTCTAAACTTACAATTAGAAAATTAATTTTATACAGGGAATACACTAATTGATCTTAGGCAAAATATTTTCTTAGAAAAATGAAAACGGTTGTTTAGGGGATAAACAACTCTGATTGTTACAGAAAACTAAGATCAGATCAATTTTGTATATTAACTCCACAACCACCCAAAACATACAAGATCATTTACAAATGCAGATCGGTAGAGATGTTAAAGATACTTTGTTTCTATTGGAGTCAAAACCGAAGCAAAAACTTGTTTACTAACAGGTGCTAAATAGAAAATGACTATGATTATTTGGAATACGATCACTGATAAAAAGAAGGTGGTAAATCCAAATATTTTATATCAAATTAATTTTTAAATAAAGGTCTCTAAGATGCTGAAAGTATAAATGCCTAAATAACCATATATTATTTCAAATATATATTCATAATAAATCCTGGCAGTTTAAATGATTTTTATATAGTAAAATATGAAATTTTTATATTAATATGAAGACATTTTTTCTTTTCCCTTATATTTTTTTATAAGTGTTACATTTCCCCAATTTTGATTATCTAAGAAGACAGTGCGGAACCTGGTAAATCCTTATCTGACTAGTATTTTCCCCACGTTGGCTATTTAGTTAGGAATGCATTTCCTTGTGTAGGTCAGTCTCCCATTCAGTAATAATAAAAACACGTTCTCAGGGTGTTTGCGAATAAATCTATAATAACAGCTGACATGCACATCCAGCAAAGCAACCCCCTTTAGCGACTTGTAAATTGATATATGCAGTTTTGGTTTTGGTTTCCACTTTGGCTATTGAATGCAAATGCGAGTGCATCTTCATCACTCTCGGAAAACAGCTCTCTGAATTGGCAACATCGGTTGAGGAATGATGTTTTGAGTGGGGATTTTAGCCAATCGGCAAGGTCGGCTGAGAACAGAACTCACCGCTGGCATTCTGCTGTAGAATTAGCAAAATCGCTGCAATCGCTAATTTGCATAGCCAGGGGGCGGTCAGCGATGATTGGAGGTGCATTGTTTTTCAGATGCGTTTTTGTGGTTGCAACCGCGAATCGTTTGGCATGCTCGTGCAATAAATTGTAATTGATTTTCGGGTGGAACACGGGTCACTCGAACAGGGTTATTTATTCACTGGCTTTTTGCCTGTTTGCTGGTTATGTTTGGCACAGTTTAACACTTTCGGCACGTGCACTGATTGTTTGCCACTCAATCGCCTGCAGATTCAGCTATTTGCATATGCAAATGGGTCAGGATCCGGGTCCACTTCAGTGCAGCTCTGAATCCTATCCGCTTGCAACCAAATGTATAATTTGGACCGATTTTGGGTCGGACAGCCGCCAGCAGCCTCTAGTGCTAATTACTCCAAACACAATTATGCATTATTTGTTTGTTTTTCGGAACTATCGCGTGGCTTTGGCTTTGACTTTTGCCACCACTTCCATTAGCCGAATGCACTTTGTTTCATCTGTTTACTTTTATTGCCCCTTAATTTGCTGGGGCGATCGCACGTCCGACTCGCGCGGCTCTCGACTTGCAAATAGCCGACTCTGATCCGGGCTCCCAGCCGAGAGATCGAGATCCATCCCCCAGAGCCAGGCCCAGACACAGAGGCTTCAGAGCGCCAGGTACTCGCAGTAGACTCACTCCGAAACGCTGCGTATGTAAATGATATGAACGCTTCTGTCGCAGCAGCAGCAGTACACTGGGAAAAACATATTATGATTTTATAGTATCATAGTATACTACTAAGAAAACTAAAAAAAGATATATTTAGTATTTATAAAAATGTATTAAAAGTATAGAGAACAGATTATTTTCATCATGATAAAGAAAGTATAAAAACATATTCTAATATTATTAATGTATAAAATGTATTAATAATAACGAGTAAACAGTTTATTTTCCTTATGATCATATACAAAGTAGAGAGAAAGATATAGATAAAGTATTCCAATATTTGTGAGGATGTAACTATTCAAATATGTTACTAAATATTGGGAATGTTCTGTTATTTAATTGTTAAAAAACCTTCGGTTTCAAACAATTTGCTTTTGAACTTCAATTTCTTATTTCAAAAAAATGTTTTATAGATATTTATAATTTATATTAGACCGTGTTTTAGTCTGTTTAATCTGTTAAAAAATACATCAGATTTTTTTAAAAGAAATTTTGAATACTTTGTAAAAGTTTTAATCGTTGAAATTACCTGATAGGCCGATATACGATTTGTTTTTCCTTTTTAAGTGAATTGCATTTAATTCTATCTGGAAAAGGCAGAGTTTTCTCTCAGTGCATAGGGAATATATTCGATCGAGCGTCGACGTCGCGGCTAACCGAGCGTATGAGAAATATCATGACGGCGTTGTCGTCGTCGAGATTGCTGATTAGATCGCTGGAGTGTGTCGCGCGCGGACCAGCCACCGAATTGCTCGCTGGCTCGATTTCAATGTGCAATAAACAAAACTATTTAACGCTTGCAAAGGGTTTTCGAGTGGGGCAGGGCGAGGTCCCATCTGGGGGCACGGTTCAGTTCAGTTCGCCTCATTTCGGTTCAGGTGGGTGGGATCGGAATGGGTATGGGGATGGGGATGGGGATCCATCGGACAGACACAGACACCGCATCTAGCCATGCATGCTCTGTCTTTCCGACAGTTTGTTTGTTTGCACAGTTGCGCCCAGCATCGCTTGTTGTTTGAATTCAATGGCACTTTTAACAGTTCAGTGGTTTTGGCGTTGACAACGTTTGTTTCCCCTTTGCAGCGGCTGCTTCCGAATGACAAATGGTCGTGCCGTTGGCCCCTTTTCTTGGGCCAAGTTGGGGCCAAGTATCTTACCTGTGGCCAGAGCAAGCGGGGCAATTGTTTATCGCTAATTAGTGGCAGGTAGCCTTTAATTAGTGTGTCATCAAAGGGCCCCCAGTGTAGTATCTATGTATCTAATGGAACTCGCAGTGTGCGATTCGAAATGGCGAACAGTGCGTGACCTTTGCGGTTGCCACTTGGAACCCATATTGGCATGTTGGCCAAGGTCGGTGGCGCTCTATCTCTATTGCCACAGCGACCGAAATGTCTTGGTTGAGCGGCGATACGGTTGACATTAGGGCTCATGCGATTACCTAATTTAATGAACGCCATTCGACTTGAGGAGGTTTTGGAGAGCGTGCGGTTTTGTCATACAGAATGTTTAGTAGCCAGGAATGCGATTAGCTGTAAGTTTACCTAGTTTAAGCTACCTAGTTTTTGGTAGTTGAGTGTCTACTTAAAGTTCTTAAAGTACTGTTTATTAATAAAATCTATCTGACTTCTTTGTCATTAAGACATTTATTTGACAACAAAGAAATAAATAAATAAAACAAATTGAATAGTGTGCTTTAAATAGGTTAAATTTAAAATCAAATCTTATGGCTCTCTTGTAATTTAATTTTTTGAAAATAAAACCGTTAATAAATAACAAAAAAAAGCCATGTACTTACCATGCCAAACATTACAAATAAAAACTGTAGCAATTTCGTTGAATTTATTAACAACTGCAGCATGAATACCGCCCCTCCTCGACTTTCGTTTTCGCTGTGGACACTCTGCGTATACGTAATAATTCATAGGCATTGCACACGACATGCAATAACTGCGCAATAATTGCCCGTTGCAGCAGCTGCAGGCCACGCCCCTGCAGCATTGCCTCCCTGCGTCGCCCATGTTGACCCCTTCCAAAAAAAAAAAGTTAAATAATGTGAAACATTCAGTTTCAGTGGCGTGACACGAAGCCAGAATGTTGCAGCAACATCGCAGGACGAAAGGGGCAGGCTTAAATTTTTAACGCTTTGGCCGAACAACACAAAGACCTCCGAGTTTATTTCCAGTCGAGTCCCACAAAACTTTTACGTAGTCACCTTGAACTATAAAGTACCGAGTGAGTAAGTGCGTGGTGTCAACAACAAGGGCCCAGTGACGCCTGAATGACGCATAAAAATAAAAGTTGCCAACTGCACAGCAGCACATATAATACATACGAGTATCAGGGCACTAATTAAAAATGCCAAAAAGTCATGGGTGTTCCGGGTGGCGAAAGGCCGGAACAATGAGGCACCCATAGCCGCCACCATAACCGTCTGGCTGACATGGAGCTTGGCTCAGAGCAGGCCCACTCCGTCTGGCAAACTGGCGATGTGGCAAAGGGGCTCGAAAATCTGGTCGAGTCGAGCAGCCAGGCGTTGCATGTGCAACTTGTCGCATTGTCTGCTCCACAGAATTATGCAAATGAGCCGACGCACACTCAGCCGGAATTGTTTATGTTGGCCAAATATTTAGCCGAAGCTAGCTAGTCAAAAATCTAGACACAAAAATACTAAATGCACAGAGAAAAATAAAAACAAAGCAGTGTCTTTATTATGAAATGATATTTGGAAATCTATTGTAGGAGTGCAGAGATTCTGATTTCAGAAACTGAAAATAAACAGAAGAAATTATAGCTCTAGGCTATCAACACATTTAATATGATTTTTTTAAAAATATTTAATAAATGTTTAAGTCTTATTAAACTTTTTCTAAACAGTTTCCGTTATTTTGTACGAAGAAATGTTCTTATCTATCTAACAATTTCGGAAAGGGGTCCCATCATCATAGTGTCAAAGAAGTGTGTCAGTTACCATCTTAAAAGATATATTTTTTATTAAAATCTTGATTCAATAATGTCTCATAAATTAGATAAAAAGAATACTAAATTTCATTTTACATTTTTCCCTACGAGTTTTTTCTCCCTGTGCAGCAGTGAACTTTGAGTGACTGACTTACTAACTTGACTTAGAATGTGGGGGGCAACTTTGCCCTCTATACTATATAGTGTGTGTTGCCTAATTGTCGCCGGGAACTTCCGTTTTGTACGGCACGGCAAAGTTGCCGCCGGTTTCAGCACCCTTGACACCGCTATATGGCTGACTATATGGCTGGCTTTATAACGATATGGGGACCGTGCCCCGCCAACCGACTAGCGTGTGAACTCGTTGGCGTTGGCGTTGACTTTTTGTGTGCTCCATATAGACGACCCCCCGAACCCTCAACTAAATAGCCATACCCACCAAACTAAAATTTATTTAAATCTGTGCCATAATTGTTTTGGGCGCCTGTTGCGCGTCGCCCTCGCCGAGTTCTTCTGGTTTTCGTTTTCATTTTCATTTTGGTTGTTTGGCTTTTTGCTGCTTGTGTGCGCATAAAATTAGCTCCGTAAATTTATTGTTAGTCATTCGCATTCTTGCCGCTTTTGTGTTGTTATGGAGCCCGTTTAAATGTCACAAGTTGCCACAATTTGTTTAATGTCCGGCCAAACGAAGCCGTTTGCACGCGCCCCAAACTCACATAAAAAATTGGCCATAGAAGTAGATCCTTTACCTGCCGTGCGATTAGATAAAAAAAGAGTCGACACTTGAATTGCATTAAATAATATTTATTGATTTCATCATTCCATATATAAACGAATCGTAGTTAGTAGAAACGAAAACCTGTGCTATCGAATTAAGTAAATGTTATTCGTAAAATGTCTTCCAAATGCATTACGTACGTATCATGTAGTTGATTCTATGGCAAAATGCGTAGTTATGAGTGGTAAAATTAAACAGAAATTTTGGAAAATAATAATATATATTATGTAGTGCCCAGGGGTGTGATCTAAATGGGTCTTTTATTTCCGTGGTGGCTGCCCCTTTGGCTCCCTAGAATTAATGCAGTTCGCATAATAATACACAAGTTCATAAATACATACATAAATACAATCGTAATCGTAGTACATAGTCAGTTATATTTTACTCTTGCTCTTTGCTTTAAATGCAGCCGAAAACAGATATTATTCTCCACTCTTCGCTTGATCGCAAATGATTGTTATTATGTTCTTTGTTGGTTATAAATTTTTGCTATAATTAAAAGGTTTATTTATATGCATTGGTTTTGTTTACTACAATTGGCTATATAATTTCGTCTTTTTGCAAGCATTTAATGTTTTTTTCATCCTTCTCGCCCGTAAATGTGTTAAAATTCCAATTTCATATGTTAGTCGCGTCTGGAAAGTATCAAAGGGCGGAATTAAAAAAATTTGGGATGAGCTACGGTTCGACGATCTGCTATTTGCTGCCACTTAATTATGCCTCTTATATACTTACACGTTAAACATATTATATATTTTATTTATTTATATATGCATGTATAAGCGAATTGCCGTTTATCGAATCTCTTGCCGAGTCCTTTCCTTACGTTAATGTCGTATGTCCTACGAGTGTGTGTGGAAATTGGTAATCTCAATGTGGGGAGAGTGTACTGGGTGTACTGGTATTACTGACAATCGGTTTACTTAAAAGCAGGTGCTGAGTTCTGCCCTGGCAGGTGCTGATACAAACGACGTTAGCCGACGTTAACAAAGCCTTGCAAGCGCCGGATCTCTCACTATATATCTGGTAAGTAACACTAAATGAACGCGATTATGTTTCGTACATATGCAACTATGAGTTCGCCTCTTCTGAAAACCCCTTTTCCAACTACTCTCTCTTTGGCCACACGTTCCTGT